GAGACCCTCAGCACCACTAACACAGAGACCAGGCTGAAAGAGACTATAGGTAGAAACAAGGAGATCCCCCATCAGCGTCGTCACTGGATTGTACTCTACATTCTTCCCGGTCTCACCTGCTCTGACATCCTCCAGCCTGAGAAAGGAGTTAAAGCAGAGGATTCCAAACCCAGATAGCAAAACAGCCTGGGGGCGGGGTGGGGGTAGCCTAGAACGGACTCCCGTTCCTACAGAATCTCTTCTCTCAGGATGGAGAACTGGGCAGCCCCAGCTCCTGAAGCACTTGCTTCAGGAAGTTTCTTTCCTCTTGGACCCTTTGGCACCCTCTCCCTATTTTCCTTGTTCCTTCGGATCCGGGAAAAGATAAGGATGATCGTAGACCTGAGAGTGTGCTGTGTGACTAGTCTCAGCATTTGACCTCTTCCCGAATTTCCTGTGTCCAAATGACCTCATGGTCAGGCTTCGGGGGCATCTCCTTTGATTTCCAGGGCAGGAAGCCGGAGCGATGAAAGAAAGGAACTTGGGGGATGGGGGGACGACGCTGTGACGTTAAGTACTGGCTTGAAGAACTTGCGTCAAGGCCGAAGACCAGGCATTCCCCCGGGGATCTCACATCAGCTCGAACGTAGGGTTGGGGGCTGGAACTAAGTCCTTAAGCTCTTTAGCCACTGTCTCATCTAGTGCCTCAGCTTATCCGGCTGTGATGAGTGGGGGTGGCGAGCAGACAAGAATAGCTCCCACAACTCAGCCCAGAGGTCTCGCCTGGAGATGCGAGACCCCCTCCCCAACACCCACTCCGCACCAAAGCTGGGAGCCGGTCTAGCCCTAGAAGGGAGAAAATGTAGCACCAACCAGTGATGCCCAGAAGTGGAGGGTGATGAGGACAGACAAGAATGGCAAGCAGAAGTCCCATCAGATCCGCTTCCCGAAGTCCTCGCTGGGATCGGATTTACCTCATCAAAGACCCTCCGGGCCCGGGGTTTGACTCACCGAGGGTACTCAGTCCCAGGAACAAAACCCGCAGCCAGCCGGTCTCGGGGGTTCCAGCCGGGAGACTCATGGCCCTCGGTGGCCCGGAGTACTCAGGACAACTGGGGCACACGGAGCCTACAGGTGCAACGGCTGAGCCGCGGCAACCCGAACGTGCACAGGAACCAGGCTACTGACCAGGGTGGCTCCCGCTCAAGTCTGCGGGTGTGCGGATGGGGAGGTGGGGTGGGACCGGCTGCACAGGGGGCGGGGCGTTCAAAGGGGTGGAGAGGTCACCGTCCTGCCGGGCGCGGCTTGCTGGTGATCCGCAGGGGGGAGGAGAGTTCTCCCGGGGCCGGGATAGCCGGATCCAGCGGCCTCTACCCGGTTATCCTTCAGCTGGGGTCGGCGAAGTTACCCCCCATGAACCAGATCTGCGAGCAAAAAGGAACTACCATCCTGAGTCCTGCAGACCTCCTGCGCAGGTGTCTGGTATGGTGACAAGGAAGAAATGGGGACCGCCCTCAACAGACACTTAAAAGCCCTGTAGCTGAGGCCAGAAACCCGCTCCAAGCCCGGGGTGCCGCGTCCTAGCCTAAGCCTTTTCGGAGGAAGAAGGGGAGCGACGCCGTGTGTGAAGTGCCGGGTCAGGTGGGGATTCGAACTTTCGCCTAGGCCCCTCGCCGCCCGGCTCATGCCCGAGGCTTCAGGGGGAGGATGTCCGAGACAGTCCCGACGCCACAGGCCTTTCTTCTCCTAAGGCGAGAGAGGAGTCGGTTCTGCAGAGCTCCAGAAACTGAGGCCCGAGGGAGTCCCGGCCCTTTGCCTCATTGCTGGGAACACGGAAGATTGGTACAAGGTAGATGCGCAGGAAACTGAGGCAACCGTCCTCAGCCCCTCATCCGTGAACCGTTCATACGCTTAATGCTGACTGGGGAAGAGCGAGCAGCTGCGGGAGGACGGGATATAAATTTCCTTTCCTCTGTACAGCTACTGGTGTCTTCGCGGCCGCCCATCTTCGCAGTGAACAGCTTAGGCCGGCCCTGATCCTTTAATTCCTAGGACTGGATCTTTCCGCTGTGAATTTAATTTCAGGCCCACACCCCTCCCACGCCATTCGGTGGAGGCACCTCTGCGCGCCCCCTGATGGCCGAGGCTGCTTGAGCAGGGCACGCACAGGTTCTAGCCTTTGCCCAACAGCCAAGAAATAAATTACGAAGATGCTTCAAATATTTGAGCAGAAGGCATAACCACGGATGTCTAGCGTGGCCCGTTGGGGGTGGGGAGTGGGGCAGAACTGTCGGGTAGGAAAAGCAGCTGGGGCTCCAGAACCCCTGCACCTTCTTCCCGGTGCAGCCAGCCTGGCTCCTCTTAAAATACCCGTCATGCAGTGGCTATACAAAATGCCTGTACAAACACTAGATTGCTCCTGACATTTCTGGAATCTACCTCTTGGCAGCTCAGACAAGGGACAGAGACCTCCAGACTATGGGACTGTCAAAAGGTGGTCAAAAAAACAAGGGCTGACTTGTTTTTTTCTAGTCTATCAAAACTCAAACATTTTCTAGATTTGAGAATCGGTGTTTTTAAAAAAAAAAAACCGTTTATGGGCTTTGTACCTGCATGTGCGTCTGCAGCACATGCATCCAGCGCCTGTAGAGGCCAAAAGAGGTCAACACTCAGTTTTGAGCTGCCATTTGAGTGTCTGGAATCAAACCCCAGTGCTCTCGAAGACCAGCAAATACCCTTACCCACTCACTGAGCCATCTCTCCAGCCCATAAGCACCTCTTAAAACTCATTTGCTTCTGGACCACAGTTGCCACACCAAATAAATAACTCCTCCCAGGAAAAGGGAGTACAAAGCCTTGGCTCTAGCCCAGTGACACTGAAGCATCTGATGACTCAGGTGTGCCCACCCCCACCCAGAAGCTGCTTTCCAAAGAGCGTAACCCTGGTACAGCAAAGCCACGAGGGTCGGGGGGGGGGGTTACGTCTCCATGTGGCACAGAAGCATTCTCAGGCTTTTACCCCAAAGAACTTTCCCTACTGTCTCCTATTCCAGCCACTTGGGAGCGATGTAGCTCTTTTGCACCCCACAAGCTTTGGCTCTGATGCTTTTGAAAATAGACACCTGTTGTGGTGTAATGACACACGCCTGTGTAAAGACCTGCTTACCTAAGCATTTGACTGTGCAAGCTAAGTTCAGAATGTCATAGGTTCCTCTCAGCCATACTTTCTTCTCAAAGAATTGATAATTTGGGCTGGAGAGACGTCTCAGCAGTTAAGAGTACTTGGTCTTACAGAGGACAAAGGTTCAATTCCCAGCATCCACATGGTGGTTTATAATCATCCGTGACTCCAATCCCAGAGAATCTGATGCCCTATTCTGACCTCCAAGCACACATGTGGTACACATATACACATTCAAGCAAAACACTCATACACGTAAAAAAAAAAAAATTTTTTTTTTTTCAGGACAGGGTTTCTCTGTGAAGCCTTGGCTGTCCTGGACTCGCTTTGTTGATGAGGCTGGCCTTGAACTCACAGAGATCCGCCTGCCTCTGCCTCCCAAGTGCTGGAATTAAAGGCATGTGGCATCACAACCCGCTAAAATTTTTTTTACTAAAAAAAAAAAAAAAAAAAAGACATGGGAGTCTCACACTGAACTACCAACCAACCAAAGAGCATGCATGTGCTGGACCTAGAACCCCTATACATATGTGCAGCTTGTTCTTCATGTGGGTGCCCTAAAATTGGAGCGGAGTTGTCTCTTACTCTGCTGCCTGCAACTGGATCCCTTGCCCATAGCTGGGTTATCTTGTCTGGTCTCAGTGGGAAAGGATACTTAGTCCTCCTGAGACTTGATGAGTCAGGCTGGGTTAGTTCCCGTTGGAGGCCTCCCCTTCGCTGAGCAAAAGGGGAAGAGGGAAGAGGATGTGAGGGAAAGAGGAAAGGAGGGAGGGGGCTGAGATCAGGCTGTAAATCAGTTTAATTAATTAAAAGAATCCTGAAAGTCTTTTAAAAACATTTGAATAAAGGGCCTCCACCCCTCCTGGATCACACAGAAAGCTTACTCAGGGCCTTAGTCCACTTGTTTTTAGCAATGTTCAGTTAGTTACCTGATAGCTGTTGTCTTCTTTTCTAAACTGCTCTGGTCCAACACAGAGGATACTCCTATCACCAAGACACTGTCCTGACAAGCCTCCATTTCTCAACGCTCACTTCTGTTCCCCTAGCCTTCGACCCATTTCAAACCAAATGGAAACTCAGGCTTGATCTCATCTTTTCCCTCCATCTTAGTCATAGGAGTCTAATAATGCCATGCAGGTATAGAAAGTCCTCACCAAATGTTCCTAAAATATTCTGCCCCATCTAGTAAACACTAGCCAAGGAAAGGGACAGAGGTAAGTAAGTTCAGTAACTACTGGTGATAGTTCTGGATTGGTCAGTGGCCATACTGGAGGGGTCATGCAGTATTCCTGGTAATGTCTGTTTCACCACTTTAGCACTGGTAACTGGGATTACTGCTGTATGACCATCAGTTCACCTTAGCCTGAGAACCAGAGTCAGGTCACAAGAATCTCCTAAGGCCCCTACATATAAACTGCGCCCTGAGAGCAGGTGCTGTACTAAGTCTCAGGGTATGAAGTAGCACCTAATTTTAGCAGCTAACATAGGAAAAAAAGTAACCCCTTAAGCCTAGGCTCAAATAATGGAAACCACCCCAGTGGTTAAAAACTCTAGATCAATAGAAAAACATACACGCATCAGCTAGCCAAATGGTATCAATATAAGGACGGACCACTGATTTGACATCATTCTGTGGGCTGTGGGAAAGAACATTTTTAAATATGTAATTTCATTTTATTTTTTAGTTTTTTTGTTTGTTTGTTTGTTTGTTTTAAGACAAGGTTTCTCTATGTATCCCTGGCTGTCTTTGAAATTGCTCTGTAGATCAGGCTGTGCTCAAACTCAAAAATCCACCCATCTCTGTCTCCCGAGTGCTTAGGAGAATAGGACACCACCACCTCCTGGCTTGTGATTTTATTTTCAACAGTATAGAAAATCAGGACTTAAAGAGTTCCAATCTGGATTTGCTGCCCATTAAAAGCAGAACATTTGATAGATGTTGAGGAACCATTAAAGATAAATAACAAAACCAGCAAGTTCCTGCCATGAGACCAAAGTGATCCTTGACTACTGGAGACTATTCTTAGCAACTGTACTAACTTCCATGTGGAGTGGTCCCTAACCCCCCAAAAGCTCAGAAGAGGTCTATGTACGAGTCATTGCTTAATGGATTGACACCTTCAAATTGCTTCTCTCATAAATCACACTTCAAAGTCATTAGTGCTGTATTTCTACTGGATCCTCATTTTCTTTTTTTAGACCACAGCAAGATGGCATAAATTGTCCTTTCACTACTTAGGAGGCTTAACCCAATTACTAAGAAAAAGATAAGGAAACAAAGTGTTTCATGAATTTATACTACTAAAGTCAAAAGGATATTATTACATTTTCAAGTAAGAAATAGTGTAGTTCCTAATGACCTCCAGAACTGACAAGAAATGAGTATGGTTACTGTTAATACATAGAGAAAATAGAGATTTTTTTTTTCTTTTTTCTTTTGTGTGTGTGTGTGTGTGTTGGGGGTGGTCCTGGTCATTCTTTTTCTTTTCAGGTTTGGGGATAGAGCCCAGGGCCTTGTGGATTCTAGACGACTCCTGCTGGGCCACATCCCAGCCTTTGTCTGTTCACTTACAGCAAAGCCAGAATATTCCCCCACAACCATGCAGCCATACTCTGCTACAAAAAGCTCAACTAGCACACCCAAAAGGCCAGGAATTCCTTTAATTTCTTTTTTTTTTTTCTTTTTTTAGTTTAAATGTCAACACAACCATAAAAGTTTGTACATCACATAAACAAAGTCTTTGCAGGCAACACTGATTGGAAATAGCAAAACGCTTGGTTGGTGAAAAATGAAACTCTAAATTATATACAATAGTAGCTAAAGGTAATACTGAAAAACAGCCTTATTAACTGTGACTCAAAATTTACTTGTCACTATCTATTGCTTATTTATTCAAGGCTGTAAATAATACTTATAGAGATGTGTAAAAATGAAATAGTGTGAAAAAAATACAATTTTCAATTTCATATGAAACTCAAAGTATAAGTTTTGTCCAATATGGAATGTACCTACATCTGTTTATATCAGGGCTCTAAAATCCATTTAAAAATTGATGTTTTCTTTTTTTAAAAAAGAACTGACCTACCATGCAAGACCTGCTTGCTCAAAATGAGCATTTCAGGTGAGGTCTGCTTTTTCTGCCCAGAGTCTACTATGATTTTTTCAGAGGTTGTATTGGTCTCATCGTGGAAAGAGCTCCCATGAAGAGTCCGATGGCAGCATCTGGATGTGGGGTAGTTTGGGTAATAGGAAGAAGGGAGAAGAATGCACAAGCCCAAATCCTTATGAAGGATGACATTCAGTTGTTAAATTTTAAGGGGTATCCAATGGCTTTTTCCAGGCACTCAACTAATGAGCCGGCGGACAGAAAATCCCTTTCTACTTCTACAAATTTGATATAGATGGATTTGGGGGAAACTCCAGGATCCACAATACAGTTCTGAGACAAAAACCCATTAATACCAACCCAATCTTTACTGAAGGTTTTGGTATTTGCTTGGAAATGTAGAAACAAGCACTGCTGCAGAGTCCTGACTTCAGCAATTCCGAGGTAGCAGTAGGTGATGCGGGCGGGTTCTACCTCCACCTGTAGTGAGGCTTGTGTCGAGAGGGTTTCTATGTCAACCCGGCCCTCTTTTCCTGGGTCCAGGGCATGGCGCTCCACATCTGGTGAGAGCGGCCTCTCAAGACATTCTTCATAGCCAATGGCATACAGGCCTGGGCTTTTAGGAATCCCTCCTGGTAATAAATACTGAACAACATTCCCACCAGTTGGCTTGGAGTGGGCAATGGGTATCCAGTCAATTTCCATGTGCAGCTCTAAGCACCTAGCTTCACTAATGGTGATCTCTAAAAATTTGTAGTAAACATTTTTCCAGTTCATTTTTTGCACTCGGGTCATAATGATCCGTCCCTCGGGTTTCTCAGAGTTGAAGTACTCCCGAAGACGCTTGCCAAGGGGCACCTGTGAGCTGATCTCGGCATAGTGGTAACGGATATCCTCTTTCCAGCGGGTGTTATAGCCAATTCCAAAAATGGCCAATTTATTGGAAAGGTGGAGCCTTGAAAAGTCTGTCCAGCTCTGAAACAGTTCCCATTTCAACTGCACCGACTCCAATATCTGTACAATATTCTGCATGGTATCTCGCTTCCTAAAAAGAGAAATCAACATATTCTTCAATTGCCTCAAGCAGCAACATCTAACAGAATTTTCTATAATGATGGAAATGTTCAATACCTACAGTGCCCACTATGGGAGCCGCTAGAACTTAAAATACAGCCAACACCCACACCTCAGAAAGGCTTCTACACTAGAAGGTCACTGCATTAAAAAAGTAACCCATCAAGTTCCTAGAATTAAAAACAAACTGCTCTTTATGATCTCATATCAATTTTAATAAATATAAATACTTATGGTCCTAGGATTTCAAAAAATCGTGGAACATGAATTTATGGAAAAAATGTTATTGTACAAATGCATGTGCCATATTATTTGTGTGGAGGTCAGAGGAAAACTTTGGATTCGATTCTCTTCTTCTATGTTCCAATGCATTCTGGGGATTGAACTCAGACTTTCAGGCTTCAGCAAGCACTTTACTCACTAAGCACTCACTGACTCAAAGCAGGACCATGATTTTTTTTTTGTTTGTTTACTATTCTTTCTTTTTAATTTGTTTATTTTTCAAGACAGGGTTTCTCTGTGTAGCCTTGGCTATCCTGAACTTGCTTTGTAGACGAGGCTGGCCTCAAACTCAGAGATCCTCCTGCCTCTTCTGGGACACGTGGAGCATGCTCCCAGTGGAGCATCAACTTTTTAAGTGGTTATCACAGCTCTTGGTTACCTTCAGACCAAAGTACCAAAAAAGCAAAGGATACGTAACAGAGCACCAGAGCAGCCTCAAATAGCACCTTAATTTTTAACATGACATTTATGAGCTCCAGCTCATACACGTGTGCTGGAAGAAAATAAATGGTTATGACTAAGAACCTAAAACAAGAACATTTCCATCATGCCATTTCCAATGAAATGAATTAATACAAACTCATTACTAGTCCCAGATTTAAGTTAGAACATAAATGGTGAAATTACAGAAATCCTTCAATTAGAATTTACATAATTAGCAGATTAAGATAGAATATGCTATGGAATTCTTGTTCCATAGGCTGCTTAACTAAGGTACTGACTGACACTTTGTGTAATAAATGTAATTATAAGCTGAAAATCCCAGCACTTGGGAGGCTGAGGCAGGTGGATCTTTGTGAGTTCATGGCCAGGCCGGTCTACATGGTGAGTTCCAGGACTGCCAGAGCTGTGTGGAGACCTTGTCTCAAATAAAGCAAAACAACAACAATAACAACAAATAGGTATTTCTCAATATGGCCAAACTTTGATGTGGTAAGACCGGCTTATTAGATATTAACTTAGAAATCAAGTTGTTATATTTGGAAAAAAAAAAAAAAAAAAAAAAAAGGAAACCAATCAATTATAGGTTTAATCTACAGAAGTACTTACATCATGCTACAATCAAGAAAAACAGATTTGCTAAGAATACTTTTTTGTTTGTTTTGGTTTTGGTTTTTTTTTTTTTTTTTTTTTTTGAGACAGTGTTTCTCTGTGTAACTGTGGCTGTTCTGGACACACTTGGAGGCTGGCCTTGAACTCACAGAGATCCGACTGCCTCCCTGAGTGCTGGGATTACAGGTGTGTGCCAACCGCCTGAATAGTACTTTTTTAGTGGGCCAGTGAGTGTACACATGTGCTGGTGGAGGCCTGGGAATTACAGGCAGATTTGAGCCTCTGGATTATTGCTGGAATCACAACTTGAGGCCTCTGGAGGAAGGAGCACAAGCACTTGCTTAATCACAGAGCTCTCTCTCTCCAGCTTTCTGTCCATCTTCAAAAGAGGCCATGGTCCTTCATGCTTTCCCTTTGAAATCTTGTATCTTTCAGAATAGCTAAGGAACATTCTGGAGAGGCCTCATAGAGCCACTGTCTGTCCTCTTGTCCTCCTGGCCTAACTGTGCAAGATGTAAAGAGCTAACATTGTGTTACCACCTGCTTCTTAGGCCCCTAAGAGTGCCCTGGGTTTATCCTTCACCCATGTGTCTGTCTTGGAATCTTCTCAAGTGGCCATGGAAGCACCTAAAGGAACACACGGGATTCCTGGGAACCACTTTTCTACTCAAGGAACATGAAGGAACTCACTCCATCACTTACAATATTCAATTGTGATGCTTCATGAGGCAGATATGTTTCTGAGTGGGACAACAGTTCAAAGGAAAACTGTCTTTCCTAACTATCAGACTGTTTTTAAACTTCCTTCTTTTAAAGTTCTGTATGTATGCTTGGTGTATACACGCCTGTGTATGTGTGTGCTCGTGCAGAAGGCAGAAGAGGGAATCTAATATCTCTCACTGAACCTGGAGCTTTCATTTCTTGAGTAGCCACCTGGTTCCATCTCCTTCGGGGCTAGTTCAGGCGTGAACAGGACCATGCCAGCTTTTTTACATATGTGCTGAGTTCCGAACTCCTATCTGCAATTCTATAGGAAGTACTCTTACCACTAAGCCACCTCTCCGTGTTTCACTGATCTCAAAGAGGATTACACTAAGTAGATGGAGGAGAGCTCAGACTTTTGTTCATCTTGCTCAGTGATACACCTTAATGCCTTGAATACAGCAGACACTTAGAAAACAAGTTAACGAAACAAGATCAAGTGAGTACTTTGTGAAGCATGTATCAGTTCGCTAACTAACCCCACAGGTGCCAAGGGAGAGAGGGAGGGGGAGAGAGGGAGAGAGAGAGGGAAGGAAGTGGGAGAGGGAGAAAGAAGAAAGAGGGAGAGAGGGAAAGAGAGGGAAGAAGGAAGGGAGAGAGAAAAACAAATACAATCTACTAAAGCAGATCAAGGTATTTTATTCCACACTTCACGCTCTGAGCACTAGTTACACACTGCATGGGATTTCAGAAGTCCTAGACAGAGAAGTAAACGGCCTCCTAGCAGCTCTTCAGAACCTCTCACTCCCTCGTTAACTGGCACCCAGAGAAAGGGCAGCAAAGGACAGAGCATACCAGAGTCCTGCTGGCCTCAGTATGAGGGTGTTTCAGAAGCTTGGAGCAATTTGGCACCATACTTATTTGAGTAGTTTTTGAGAACTGTCCATTTCCTGGCTTCCAATGCCAAGAGTTCCAGGGTTTAAGGCTAGTGACAACTCTGTGACGTATGTATCTATACTTGCTACATCAAATGACTATTCCCTGAAAGAACCAAGTGACTTGGGAGATACAGGCCATCTCAGTTATAGATCCAGAGGCTTATTTTGGAGAAAAAGGGACTTAAAAGTATGGATTTATAGTAACTCACTTTAAAAATCATTTGCCAGGGATAAAGGGTAAAGCCCTTGCTATGTAAGCCAGAGTTTAACCCTTGGGACCCATGTAAAGGTGTAAGAAGAGAGTCAACTCCACACAGTTGTCCTTTGACCTCCATAAATTCACTGTAGCTAGCATGTATCCATACACATGCATGCTTGTACAGTAACAATTAATAATTTCAGTCACCAGTCTTCTTTCCTTTCTACTTGATGTCACAATCTTGAAAGAATAACTACTTCTCAATAAGACATGACTTTAGGTTTATTGATTTGGGTCAGAAAAAAAAAACAACAACACACTTTTGAAGAGCAGGATAATGAGTACAGATTTGGGGGAAATGTTCATATTCCTGAATGCTCACTCACTCTCTCCCCAGACATAGGCTCAATCACACACCACTGGGAATTCTGTGATTCTAAAGACATACTACCAAAAAAAAAAAAAAAAAAAAAAGTGTGCACTTGCAATGGTAGCGTGCTGAACTGCTGACTTGCCTTTTCTGTGGAGTTTTTAGCTATCTGCAACTTGTCTTTTCCTATGTCTATCAAATGTCATGTGGAATGCGACACATCAGGCATGGGTGCTAGGAATTCAAGTTACCAGGAAGAAAAATGAGTAGTACTTTTCATTTAGCTTCTAACTTTATTTTTTATTCTTTTTAATGGCTTTGATAAGGAACTCACTTGAAGCCATTAAAAAGAACCGTAAATGTAACAGATGGTGATGAACTCTTACGGGAAAGAACAACAGTTGGGTCATTGAGAGGCTTTATCCTGAACCTTCTGGGTCCTTCCTCCAGGTGGTTTCCTACATGCATAAGTAGGTCACCTAAGAGCTTCCCTTCAGATTCCCGAACTGTAATATTATTGAAAATTCAAATGTCCCTTTGGTCCTCCTTTAATCTCAAGTCCTTGTGGCTCATCTTGTCTAAGGTAAGCATCTAAGGGTGCACACCAACACAAGGAAACACATTTTCATGAAGACTTGTTTCTTCTTCCTGTATAAAACATTCAGCAGCTCAGGTCCCCAGTGGTAAAAAAATAAGCAGAAATGCTTCCAAGATGCTGGAGTAAGGCTGGAGTTTCTCCATCATGCCTAGGTACCCATGATCCTCCCAGGTTACTACACTTGGACACATTGGTGCAAAAATGAAACATCTACTTACTGTGCCTCTTCAGAAGACTCTTGTTTTATTTTTAATGTTCTCTTTGAAACTGGCATTTCATCTGGAAAAAAAAAAGAAGTTTTGGAACAAATTATATTTTCCTAAATGGTGACATACATTTATGTAGATAAGTAGCTCTATTTTCTGCCCATTCTGTCCTTTCTTAATTAATTCTGATGTCTAACACTGTCCGGCACCAGATATAAAAATAAAACTTTATCTAATGAGATGCGAACATTGATATGCAGGATCAGAAACCAGCTCCACAAGCATAAAATTCTTCAAGGTCACCAGTGGATTTTAAGCGAGGAGCTTAAAGCTTAATTTCACTGCAAACATGATTTTAAAAGAACAAGAATGGAAATGACTCTGCTCTACTTAGATTTTCTGTGTAGGTTTTACAGAGGAAGTAATTACTCCCAAATACGAGGATCAGCATATTCTGCATGTTATTTTTTTTTTTCAAAGGCTGGGTGACTTAACGCTTCACAGCAAACAGGTTATGGTATGCTGCAGACAATCAGCCCTTAATGTTCTTGTGAGATTGAAAGGCAAGATCAGTTAGGATCTAGTCTTATTCTTGAAATCTTCATTTTCTTTTACATATGGCTAATAATCTTAACAATTTGAGAACCTCTCTCTTTTTCCCTTCCAATATTTCGAAGAAATTAAAACAGCATTAATACAAAATACTATAACAGTTCACCCTTTTTCTTTATTTCTGTCATCGGGCAGGATTCTGTAATTCTTTTTCCTTAAGCAACGGAATCAAATTTATACTGGCAATCCTGCCTGCACTTCCTCAGGCGTCACCTGAGCAGCTCATTAGGGGGAAGGGCATTTGCTCCTCACACACTCAGTACACCACTTGCTGCTATGGAAAAAGGCTATAGCTAAAACTTGTCAGCATTTCCCAAATAAGAAAGTCAAAACGGGAGTACCTGACCTATCGAGATGCAAGCAAACAAAAACTACATATACCCTCTTCATCAGGCCACTCAATTGGAGATTTAAAGTAGTTGGGTCAAGGACTCTCAGGGCTACAAAAAGCAGGGGTATTTTGAGTTGCATAAGGTTCAGTCAGTGAACCTCCTTGTATGAGTCAGGTTAGGAAGTCTTCTATCTTCAGAGAGCTTACCAGTACCCAAGTCACCAAGTTGCCAATAGAAAGCACTACTTGGCAGTTTAATGCAAAACCAAGGATGTCCATGTTGACTCAAATAGTTTGGCAATATGCCTTGTGCTGACAGCACTAGAGGCCATCGAGGATGGTAAATACCAGTGCACATACCAGACAGACAGACAGACAGACAGACAGACAGACACACACACACACACACACACACAGAGTCATAAGTGATTGGTTTTCTTACCCAATTCCTGATCTGTTGGATAGCCATGGAGATCCTGACTGTGGTTTCCCCAGTCCTCCTGTGAATAGTCCTCCATAGTGCTGCCATCTGACTCCAGCTCCTGGTACAAGCCACTACTGTTAATAAGTACAGGCTGGCAGGGCTGAGCATCCCATCCTCCCTGACCAAACACCTGTTCCAACTGTTCAAATGTGTAACTGCTCTTTCTTTTCCCAACACCATGTTCTTTCACCCGACTGTAACACCTGCGAAGGGTCTAAGACACAAAGTCTTTTGTTATTCCTTTAAAGCTGTACTTCCTCCTCCAGATACGGACCACAGATATTAATTACTATTAGACAGACACAGACAGACAAACACAGACACATTGTTACAGGAATGCTAGATTTCAAATAAATTATTATATTAGAAAAATACTAATTTAGCATTTACTCAAACATGTTATAATCAAACAATTATTTTGCAATTATCAATTAAAACAACAAGAAACATTACAACATTATTGCAAGTACCCCATACACATATTTTATACCCCCTCCCCCACTTAAAAAGGGTAAGGGGGAGGAAAAAAAGAAATACCAGCCAGCCAATAGGATGCACACCTGCCACAGGAGAGAAAGCTGCTATGGTGCCCAGAATTTGGAAAACGTGAGGGAAGGAAGACAGAAAGAAGAATTTCCCCAAGTGAAAAACATCTTCCTTACTCTTGGTTAAGGAGAACAGAGGAAAACAGTTGCCTAGACAAAGTAGCTGACAAAGCAGATCACTTATTGACTCTTTTTTCCTTCCTACCTCACTCTGTCATGGTAAAAGAAAAAAAAAGTCTACAATTTAAGCAGAAATCAAATCAATAATGTCATTAAGTCCCTAGTCTCAGACACAACAACAAGTACATTAATACCTAAATTTTACTAATCTACCAAATCAAATTGCTAGCTGAACACAGCAACAAACAAGGTCAACAGTCTTTCTTGGGGAAGGTGAGGAAGGGAGTCATCTCACTTCTTTCTCTGTCACTTGGCACACAGCAAATAAATACCATTATGCAAGCTTCCAGAAAAAACCTGGATAACCTCGTTGCCTTGTTCAACTCTCTCGCTTTTTATGGTCTTTATTTCCACTACACATTTCAAGCTAGCCCAGTTTTCCTGAATTAAATGGTACACCTCATGTTATCTTACTTGATAAGCTAAAAGATACATCAAGAACTTAGTCTCAGCTTCAGTCACATTCAGGCTCTACTTGCTCTCTGCCTTCCTTTCTTCCTTCCAATTGTTCTTCTTCACAGGATTTCACTCAGAATTTTCTTGAGACAAAGCCTCCTTTTCCCTAGTGGCTCCTAAATATTTTCTAATTTAACTGTTAAAACTAGTTTATCTCTAACATAACGTATCTCCTAAAGGAGAGATTACCCTCCATACGCCAATATATGACCTAGTCTCACCAAATTAAAACAAGTCTGAAACGTTATGGCTCTCCATGAAGTACAGGATCTTTAAATCACAGCTGACAATCTACAAGACACTCCCTTAAACACTCTAAAATCTGGGCTCTGAGGCCAGAAATCCACATGGGGAAAAAATAATAATAATAAAAGCATGAGACATGATCGTCTGCCTCCCTCAGACATGGTCACCCGCCCTGCAGCCTCAGACCCCCAAACGAGCATCTGCCCATTGTCCGTTTCATTGAGATGGCATCTCCCCCACCACCTCAAATGATCCTTACATAAAACTGAGGCTTCTTATAAACCCTCTAAAAATCAATCATCTTGGCTTTCTTTTATAACGGAGAATTGTGACCCCATAGGACAAAACCATCTAAAAACAATCCAGAAAAGTAAACTTGGAAAATGTGTGTCATGGTCAAATCTCTCAACAGAAGAGGCAAGCACTGCAAATCTCATTTGACTTCACATACTCCCCTTTCCCAGCACCCTCTGCCCTCCTCAGAGATCGGAATTTGAATTGCAAACAGCCCGTGACAATTTATTTTTATTTTACAATGTCTAGTTTCTGCCTCCAAGAACACCCCAACTACTCTGGACTCCTCCAAGAACTGTAAATAGAGTCCCAACTCTGTCCCCTCCTAAGACCATAAATGGAGATGGAAACGGTGTCCTTCTCACCACTTACTGGCTGCCTACAGCACAGCAAAGTCCACTCAGATGTCACTAAGGGTTACCCCAGAAGCCAAAGAAGGGTGCCACTCTTATGAGGAAGTGTCAAAGGCATAAGAAAACCTACCAATTTCTCCCTATAACTGCAAACACATATTCTCCTTATCAAAAATAAAGTCACCAAATTTTGATAATATATGTGGAGAGAAACCAGAGAAAAGACATTTCTTCAAAGTCACCAAATTGAGCTTACAATTTTCTTCGGTTATGTAAATGTGAATGCTGAAATCATCGATCTCTGACAGCTAGACACATCTTTTACTTGGAGTGTACACCTGTAACACATGTTTACAATTAGTACAAATGTGTTTGGTAATGTCTAAAACCATGATAATAATCTGTTGTACTGCAATAACATTAAAAAGATTTCCAAATCAACTTTCCTTCCTTCAAGATATAAATACATATAAGCAATTTCTTGTAGGTCTAATAAACACCAAAAATCCAAGGACAGTCTGTTTAAAGAGGCACACCCCCTAAGATGGTGGGGAGGAGGGGAACTCAAACATTGGCTTAACTGCTACCTTTAGACCCACTAGGATTCACTTGAGAGCTCCAGACATAGATAAAAAGGACATTTGGAGACCTTCCAATTCTTACCACCCACAGAAAAGATTATACAATACATTATCCTCTAAATGCTTAATCAAAGCATATAATTAAAAGACTGGGTGGCTGGATCAACAATCCTAAATAAACCAACTAAAAACCTTCTCTAAATCAGAGATCATGATGCTCCAGAGTCCAGGAAAAAGGAGACTGCAGCTCCCATTTGAGTCAGCTACCAAATCCAACAAGATACACCATTTGGCTTTCTTAGTGAACCACATTCTACTTGACATTTAAAAATCTTGCTTCACTTCTTTCATTTACCTCACTCATCTCAGAAATGTATAGCAATTTGATCTCTAATTGGAAAAACTTTAAAACTACTAAACACTATTCAATTAAAAGATAACAGTTAACTTCCTCACGGTGAGAAACCTCTCTGGTCAGCTGATACTGTCTCCCTGGAGAGGTGCTGTAAAGACTATACTATCCACCCAAACAGAGGCAGTGAGGAGTCAAGGAAATCTAGAAAAAACTAAGCAAGCACAACAACTTCAAGGGGCCAAACCAGAGTTGTTCCGAGTATACGATTCAGAAACGCCAGGCGAATGCTTACTCAATTCGCCATACAAATGCTTGGGTTTCAGGGCTACAACCAGAAAAGCACCAGAGAAAAAGCCTGAGGGATGTTCCATTACCGAAGCAGGGGGGAAATTGGCTGACAGCTAAAAATTTATAGGACAGAGTGAAAGTCTTGCCAGAGTTTAAGATTAAAGTAAAAGAAAATCAGAAAATAAAAAGATGACATTCATTGTGGATGAATGCACGGGGAGTCCACGGGGAGAAGGGCAGGTAAACGAAGGCAGGAGTTTTAGATTGGCAGGATTGAGGTTTGACGGCAGCGATGCAAAGAAAGACCCAGGGTCACAGTACACGAAACATTAAATACAGTGCACAATGCAGCTATCTTGCCCAAGTAAGCAAATCCAGCACTGGGTTGTATAGGCAGAGGAATCACATGTAAGCTATGAAGGTGGCTCTTCCTCTCTATTCAGCACCGGTGAGGCCACAGCTGGAGCACAGCATTCAGTTCTGGGCATCGAACCAGCTACAAGAGAGGGAAATTGTAGAGTTCAGAAAAGGGCAAATAAAATAATGAAAGGCTTGGAAAATAAGATCTACAAGCAGGGTCAGTGGTTTCAGAGCCCTTCCTGGCCTTATTAAGTACTCTGAGGATGAAATTTAGGTTTTTCACTTTAGTGTCCTCTAATCCCTGCTCTTGTATTAGAAATGGGAAAAGCTAGTTCTTCTCTGCTTTGGGAATACAGGAGGCAAACTAACTAGCTCATATAGGCACAGGCCAAGAAAACTGCTGCTGGCAATTTACCCCCTTCATATAGTAATACAGTCACACGACAAAACCACTGTTCTAACACAATTGGTGGCAAGTAGAGCAGAGCATACAATGAAGAGGAGCAGAAATAAGTCATAATGGCTACATAAACATGCTGTTTAGAAAATACTGGCTTCAGATGAAAAATAAAGTGAACCTGCAAGGAGGACAGCTTAATTATAATAGTAGGAAACAATGTTATAAGAAAACACAAATAGTAACACAGCTTTTCAAATGTAGTTGTCAAACTGGCCACACTACACATGCCCTGCAGTTACCTTACCCAGTGGCAAACTGAACATGACAAACCCAAAATTCCTCTAACTCAAATGAATAAGTCTTCAAAAATCAGATACTCTACAAGAAATGGGGAAATTACACAAAAGGTAAATCTCCAGTAACTAATTTTCTTATAACAGTATCAAAATAAAACTTTAAGCTGGGTATGGCAGTTCACTTCTATACTGCCAGCAAACGAGGTAGAAAGACTGCTGCAAGTTCAAGGCCAGCCTGGAGTACAGGGAGACCTTGTCTCTGGAAAACAAATAACCCCACCCCACCAAACAAATACCACCGACTAAGATAAATGAATAGTCTCTATAAAATAGATCTTTTCCCTTTTAACTACTATTACAATTATTACTAGTGGCTCTTTTAAGGAGGCAACAAAACCCCAAGTTTAAATAAAAACTGAGAAGGTCTGAGGACACAGCTCAGTGGAATGCTTGCCTAGTATGCGTAAGGCCCTGGTGCAATATTAAGCAACACACACAGACACACACAGACGTAGGCAGGCTGGGGGTATAGCTCAGTTGGTAGAGTGCTTGCCTAACATGCTAACAGTAGGTGGTGCATGCCTGTAATCCCACCACTGGGTCGCAGAGGTAGGGGGATCTCTGAGCTCCAAGACAGCCTTGGCTAAATAGAGAGGTCTGACTCAAAAAGAAAACAAAGCAAAACAAAAAAAGCAAGGTGTACACACCTTCTAACACATGACTGCAACTTTTAGGTACAAAGTACCTAAAACAAAATCATTTGGACAAAACTCTTGGTATTATCATACTGGGTTTTCAAAACATTAATATATGGCAAACTGACTAAATCCTTTAAAACCACTCCTCACCAAAAGAAAAAGAAAAGAGCAGAGTAATTCTAATCTACACATGTTGCTCTTCCTTCTCCTATGCTCCTATGCAGGAGAGTCTAAGCCTGAGGGTTGTGGGTTCCCTCCTGAGGAAATGCACATATCACAAAGTTCCCAGTCTCCTTGATGAGCCATACACACATCCTGCTTTAAAGCCTGCTCTACAACAGAGGCTGTTCTTCCAGGAAAAAAATAAAAAATGTGTTAGGAAGTCAAAGATAAGTCGACTCAATTTATATGACAGACTTCAGAAGAGATTCTAAAGACTGACACAATCAGGGCCAGAAAGATAGCTTGGCAGGGAAAGGCATCATGGCCATACTGATAACCTGAGTAAAATTCTCTCAGAGAATGTCTCACTGTGTTGCCCAGGCTGAGCCCAAAGTCAAGGGATTCCCTTACCTCAGCCTCTCATAAGTTGAGCAGGCACGATATACAGCACTTAGATTTCCTGATTTTTTCCAACAAAATGTTTGTAAAGCTCACAATAAACAAATAAATAAGCAAAGGAGAACAGTATTTGATTCAGAAAAGTGTCACTTATTGTCACTCATTTCAATAAATTAACTGAAAAACAAACAAAAAAACCCACAAGTATCCTAGATGTGGTCCACACTTGTACTTCTAAAGTAGAGGCTGGAGGATAGAAAATTCTGGGCCAGCCTGTGCTTTAATAGTCAGATCATATCTCACTAAAACAATTATCAACAAAAAGAATATACAAGGATCTTACTGTGATGAGAAGGAGCACCCCTTTTTCTCTTTCTTATTTTTACTTTCTTTCTTTCTTTCTTTTTTTTTTTTTTTTTTTTTTTTTTTTTTTTTTTTTTTTTTTTTTTTGGTTGTTATAGACAGTTTCTCTATGTAGCCCTGGCTGGTTGTCCCGGAACTATAGACAGCACTGTAGACCAAGCTGTCCTGAAAGCTCTGCCTGCCTCTATCTCCTGAGTGCTGGGATTAAAGCATGTGCTGCCACCACCTGCCAAAAGCACTTTTTTCCCTATGTAATAAGCAATAACTGTTTTTCCAGAAGTGACAATAAACAATATTTAAAAATTCATTCTGGAAATACACGGTCAATCTAGGCTGAGACCCTGTCTCAAAACAAAACAGAACTCCAACAAAACCGCAGGTACCATGGACATGTTTGCATGCTAGACTGCGATTGGACCCTAGAGCATGCTAAGGAAGCACTTGTAATGGAGCCCAACGTTGATGGGAGTGTTAAACAAGGTGTGATATCCATTCAGGATGGTATTCCAGAAAAAGCATTCCTCTAACGTTGCTATGTTAGCATCTCAATACTTCACACTTTGGGGCTCTAACTCCAAGTGTTATTCAGATAACATTAAAATTGTCATTCATTTATTAATAGGTAATAATGAGGGGAAAAGCACATTCACAAAAAAAAAACTTCTGGCATGGCAGAGGGGACCATTCCTCCCTTTTAAAAGTCCCCATTTGATACTGAAGACAAAGCTCTGCGGTTAAGAACATGTATTGTTCTTGAAGAAGACCTGAGTTCAGTTCTCGGCATCCACATCAGAAAGCTCACAATAACCTGGGGATCAGATACCCATCTGACTTTATCAGACACACACATGTAAATATCATATCCCCACACAAACTATGAACTAACTATTCCACAATCAATTATGCCCCCAAATTAAGGTCACTCCCCTAACAAAAATCTTGACCAGCTTTTACTGTAGTAACATTATCTTGCTGCTGAAATACAAAAGTAGCCTCTACACTTAAAGTTTAAGAGTGAAACCACGGGGTCCGTGAGAAGGCTTGGCAGTTAATGGTGCTTACTGAATGGGCCTGGCTACTGGAGTTCGAGCCCCAGAACCTATATAAAGGTGGACAGAGAACCAACTGCACAGAGCTGTCCTCTGGCATCCTCATGAGAAGACTGTGGGCACACCCCCAATAATAACAGTTTTTAAAGTGAACCTACAGAGTAGGCCACCTTATCCCTTTCACATGCTGGTCATGTCATCAGCTCAGCTTTTACTTGTTTTCTTCTGAAAACCACCATCTAGCTAGCAAAGACAACTTGTAGTGTTTCTTTCCATTAGTAAATTTATTCTCTTATAAAAATCAATCCTCAATCCATGATATCTCACTAAAAACTAAAGCTCCTAGAAATCTTCCATAGACACATCTGGCCCTTAGCTGGAGAGATGGCTCAGCAGTTAAAAGCACTGGATGATCTTGCAGAGTTCAATTCCCAGCACATGGTGCAGACATATATGCAGGCAAAACACACACAATTTAAAGAAAAAGAAAAATCTCTAGGTCCAAACTTTAAATCAAGATTTAGCCAATTCTAAAAACATTTTTTTTAATTTCATTTACATAGAATAAACTATAAGCAATAACTGTATAAGATTTACCATTTTATAAAAAATTAAAAGATAAGCAAGTTCTAAGTTTACTCGAAGTTTCTGCCTTGGAGCAACCTAAAATTACTTAGGAAGTTGGAACAAAATGTAGATGATCAGCATAGGATATGGTGGGTATATCCCCACAATCCCAACATTAGGAGGTGGAGGCAGGACCATCTTTCATTCATGGTCATCCCCAGCTACGTAGTGTGTTTCAAGGCAGCCTGCACTATGTAAGATCCAAAACATGAGAAATTATAGTGTGCTTACCCAAACCTAATCAGTATGGGCACATCACTGAATGTGGCCTCTTAAGCAGAATGTGAGAGGCAGCCAGTGCAGTGAAGCCTTCTACTTAGCAGTGACAACTCAAGTTAACACACTGGGGAATAATGACTGTCAGGCACGCGCCTAAGCCACCAGAAGCACTCCCCACCATCTTCAGGTCATGCCCTGTCCACTTACATGTGCCGCTGTATGACTTTTTTTTATTTTATTGCTGCTTTGCTCTGTAAGACAGTCGCACTGTGTAACTCAGGCTGTCCTGAAACTATGGAAATCCTCCTCATGGAAAGCCTCCGCTATTTGCTACTTTTTGTCAACTTGCCACAAGCTAGAGTCATCTTGCAAGAAGGAACATAAATTGAAAAAAAAAAAAATATCAGATTGGGCTGGGGAATCTATGGCCCATTTTCTTGATTAATGATGGATGTGGGAGGGCGTAGCCCACTATGGTCAGTGCCACACCTAGGAAGGTGGGCCTGGGTGGGGTAATAAAGCAAACTGACCAAGCCAGAAGGAGCAAGCTAGGAAGCAGTGTTCCTCCATGGGAACATGAGAGGATGTTCAGGTCCTGCCTTCAGGCTCCTAAATGAGGTCCTGACTTCTCATGAGATTGTAAGCCATAAAAATGAAATAAGCCTTTTTCTCCTCAAACTGCTTTTGGCCACATATACTAAAGAGAGCAAGCAAGAGTAGCCTCAGACTACAGAAGTGAGCCTTCGTGCTTGACTGCACTATACTTTTACTGACTGGCGACAGAGCAGATTTGTTCTACCAGCATCACAACATGTTGAGTAATGCTTTGACACAGAACATAAAGATAGCTCTAATTTGATTATATGACAA